GAGCTTGTCAATAAAGTTAGGAATCCTTAACCTGTAAATAGCTAGTCAATAAAACTAGGGATCATTAACCTTGTCAAACCCTGTGTAAAAAAAAAAAAAAAAGAGAGAGAGGAGTGAATAACAACTTGAGAAAGCCAGGGAAGCAAACAGACATGGCAATTAAAAATAGAAGGAGAGAATGTTAGACGAGCTAGAAAATTGAGAATATTTCAAGGAGCTGTTATATGTTGATGATGAGAGACAGTGATTTAATTTATTGGGCAAGGAGGAATAACATCTCACAGGAGTAAGGAAGAGCCAGAGGTGGATGTGGGAAAAGTGCAAGGAAGTAGGTAGAATGAAAGGGGTTACAGTAAAGCAGCTGGGTCAGATAGGATTAAGACTGAGATGTTAAAAGCCAGTCGGGATATACAGTAATTATTCAGTATTTTCATGTATGGTATTTATTCAATATGAACGAGAAAGAAGAGAAAATACTTAAAGATTGGCAGGAAGCATGCACAGTTTTGTATAAAGGAAATGGAGTATTATATGGGAATAAGCCTGTTGAGTGCTCCATGGGGATGTGGAACAGAATTCTTCCTCTGTAAGCTATGCGTGTCGTAAGAGGCAACTAAAATGCCGGGAGCAAGGGGCTAGTAACCCCTTCTCCTGTATACATTACTAAAGTTAAAAAAAGAAACTTCTGTTTTTCTTTTTGGGCCACCCTGCTTCGGTGGGATTCGGCCGGTGCATTGAAAGAAGAAGCCTGTTGAGTATACCATGTAAAGTGTATAGAAGAATTACTGAAAGTAAGAGATAAGACAGAAAGTAGGATTGCAGCAGTACAAGGAGGATTTGGGAAGGACAGAGGATGTGTAGACTAAGTGCTTACATTGAAGCAAGTAAGTGAACAACACTTAGGTGAGGGTAAGGAATTGTTTGTTGCATTCAGCAAGGAGTTTTTATATGAAGAGTGAGGCTAGAGTTAGTTAAGCATGAGAAAGGAACTATTTTCCAGTAAAAGGTATGTACACCTTAGACAGAAATGAGTCACCATGGATGTTTAGCACATTTATAAACAGAGCCGTAAAACAACTGAATACAGGTACCATCCGACTTACGACCGAGCTTGGTTCCGACTAACTGGTCGTAAGTTGAAATGGACGTAAGTCGAACCTTACTACTGAATATCAACATAACATTTTTGTAATGACTATTTTATTGTTTTATTTTGGTATTTCATTTTTTCTTTACTTTTATGCTGTTAGTACTGTAAGGTTTAGGATAAACACTGTGTATAACACAAACTGTTGTTTATTTCCTAGGATGAGTGGTCGTATGTCAAGCAGGTCGTCAGTCGGATGGTAGGTATATTAGGGTGTCGGGGAGGTGGGTGGGTGGGTGTGTGTGTGTGTGTGTGTGTGTGTGTGTGTGTGTGTGTGTGTGGGGGTGTGTGTGTGTGTGTGTGTGTGTGTGTGTGTGTGGTTAAAAGAATTAATCTGATACAAAGTGAGTGTTGGCACAGTTAATTTTTTGGTAATGACACAATTCTTCTGGGAGTTTCTGAAGAGAAGTTGCAAAGGTTGGTGGATGAATTTGGGTGTAAAGAAGGAAATTAAAAGTGAACATTAAAAAAGAGCAAAGTGACAAGAGTAATAAAGTCAAGGTAATTGAAGATCAGATATCAGATTTGAGAGAGGTGGTACTGAGGAAGTGAATGTGCATTGATAATTGCAAGTGAACATGGTGATAGATGGATCTATGGAAGAATGAAAGATGAAGTGAACCAAAGAACAGATGGAGAGCAAAACTGGTGGTGCTGAGGCACCTGTGGAAAAAAAAAAAGTTCATCTATATAGGCAAAAAAGAGAAGGTACCAGAGAATAATGGCCCTAACATTTTTTACGAGTGTGAGGCACCGTACTTTCAACACTGTAGCAAGGAGGTGGCCAGAAGCAGTGGGAGGTTATGAATGAGAGAAATGTGCAGTGTGAATATTATGAAGAGAATTCAGAACTTAGAAATTAGAAGAAAGGGGGGAGGGGTTACTAATCTCATAATTCAGAGGGCTGAGGAGGGGTTGTTGAGGTGGTTTGGGTATTTAGAGTATGGAGAAAAACAGATTAAGATGTATAATTCTGGAGGTGGGAGAAAAAGGAGCAGTGGTCATTGCAGGAAGGGATGGGAGGGAGAGAATAGAGGAGGTTTTGAGTGCTACGAGCTTGAGCATTCAGCAGGCTTATACGAGTATATCAGACTGGACTGGGCGATGACAGTTGATTTTTTATGGCTTGACGTGCTGTTGAGTGTGGCCAAGATAACATTTATGAGAAGATTCAGGAAAACCTGTTCACTGAACATGATTCCTGGAGATGAGAAGAGCAGTGCCTGCACTCTGAAGGAGGAGGTGGGAATACTGCAGTCAGAGGGTCATGTGAACTGTTATGTTTGCATATTTCTGGCAAGACAGTGATTGAGTGAATGACAGTAAATGTGTTTCCTTTTTTTTTTTTGGGTCACCTTAACTTGGTGGGAGATGGCCAATAAGGTAAAAAAAAAATTGTGTTTCGTTTATATTCTTAAAAGCCATTTCCTAATAAAATTTAGACAGTGAGTTTGCCCTTACAATATGCAATCTTAGATTTTAGATTCTTTGCCTAACACAGACAAGTTTTTAAAAGGTCAGTGTGTGAAAGATTATTATTTGTGATTACTTTTTTATAAATTACCTATCTGTAATTACAAGAGCAGAACTACGCTTGTGGTATCCTGTCTATAAATTTTTTAAGTGTGTGTGTACATGTGTGTGTGTTTGTGACTTTGTATGTGGTATACCCATGTTTGAGACAGGAAACCTATGACTTATGAATGTCCCCCTAACCAAGGAAGAGAGAGAGAGCACATAGAGTCTCACAGCCAGTTACTGGCCCAGACCCAGCAATGCTTCACCCAACTGACTCAGCAAAACACACACATCACTAACAATGCCACATTAAGTATATGTTATTATCATCCTGTGGATAATTGCATACTGTACATACACTGGTTGAGTTTGGTAGATTTAGGCCTAGCTCATGAAGTGTATGCCTATGTACAGGTACAAACACTGAAACTTTGTAACTGGATTTCCCTCTGTGTGTGTGTGTATTATATTATATATATATATATAATTATATATTATATATATATATATATATATATATATTTATATATATATTATATATATATAATATATATTATATATAAATATATACTGTTATGTATATGCACCAAATATAAACAGACAAAAAATTATAAAAAATAATTTGCACCAAATAACCCATATGTCTGTTTGCATGTAGTGTATGTCTGTATATGTTTATGCTTGGTAAATAAACACACACAAATAATAATAAAAAAATTGCACCAAATTACTCAACTTTGGTCCCAAATTCAATCCAGTAAAGTCTAACAAAGACAATGGCATAGGTTTTATGAAGGCTACATTATGTTCATAAATAAAGATACTATTTCTTTGTGGAACATGACAGACATGGTTTAAATGAGATACACATGACAGGAGAATAATGACCATATTGCATGTCATTTTTCTGGTACCCTTAGATTAAAATCTGGAGTGAAGAGTTGTAAAATACCTTATTCATTGTCATACACAAACTTTGCTTTTAAGTCATGTGCTCTGTTTGAATGAAAATGATTCTATCATACTATCTGAACACGGATTTATTATTAGTCTAATATTCGAGTGTAATCACAGTTGAGCACCAAATTAGCTTGAGTTTACGCAAGTTCCAAGTGCGAATTTATATGGTGTATGTATGTATATTGTGTATCATTTTATTTATTTTTATTTCTATATATATTATGATATATTTATATATATATATATTATGGTTATAGTTTGTAGTAACAACCGGCAGGGGAGTACTACCGTTAGTGAGTGTAATTATTTTTTGTGTGGTGGATGTGGTCCATTGTTGTTATGAACATGAGATTAGTAGTGTCTACTTTTTTATTACATTTGTACATACATCTATATGTACAAGATATATATATACATTGGTTTTTTTATTTTTTTTATTCTTATATCTTGTTTATTCTTATATGAGTATATGGAACAATTTTTTTATATATTGTGTTGTAATATAATAATCGGAGGGTGTAGTAACTTTCTTGTATTTATACTAATAGTAAGTAGAAACTTTGTTTTTCTTGTATTGGACCCCTTGTTGATATCTTTTTTGTAATATGATATTTATATATTATATAATATATATTTATTATAGCATAATTATATGAATACATATATATATACATATAGATATAATATATATATAATATATATATATATTTATCATTTTATACATATATATATACATATATATATTATACATATACATATATATACATATACATATATATATACTTTTATATATATATATATATAATATACATATAATATATTATACATATACATATATATAATTTATATATATATATATATATATATATATTTTATTATATATTATATATATACATATATATTATATATACATATATATATTATATATATACTATATTATATTATATAATATATCATTATATAATTTATCATATATATATATATATATATATATATATATATAAATATATACTTTAATATATATATATATATACATTATATATATATATATACATTATATTTATTATATACTTAATATATAATAAATTTTTTACATATACATAATATATATATAAATAATATATAAATGTATATTATACATTATATATATATATATATACAAATATAATATATATATATACTATACACAATATATTATATAAATATATTATTATATTATATACATAAGATATATATATACATTACATACTATTATTATTAATATATATATATATATATATTATATATATATATATATATATAATATTATATATAGATATTTATAGATATGTATATAGATTATATATAGATATATAGATATATCTATTTTCACACACAATATTACTACATCATTACAACTTAAATGAATTCCATAAGTGTGTTCTTATGAGATTATATTTACAATCTTCACTGGCTTAGGGAGCAGCACCTTCTAATATCTGGCCTGAAAAATAATGCAGTGCTTTCAAGTGCTGGTACAATGATAAAAGACCAACAGTGCTTACCACAGAGGATTACATTGAACTAACAAAAACTAAAATGCTGGCTCTTGCAAAATTATACAAGAAATCTTGAGTTACGTTACATTCCATTCTAAACTACACAGATCAATAATGCATATTAATTCCTTTTGGCCATGTAAGACAGGCAATAACGACAAAATCTTTGAGCAATTCGTGCATACACCCTAATTTTGGGTTACAGAAACTACCAACGACAAAAGTCAATTAGGAAGATGACATTCCGTGCAGATCACAAGATACTTTTCATCTTTGTTTTCCCTCAAATTACTGCTTTCCTATGGAACAATATCCTAATATTCTATAGAGTATCCATCTGACTTGTATCTATATGGACCAAGGTTGATTGTCATGATTAGACTCTCCTAATGACAATAATATGCTAACCCTGGGTGGCTTTAAGGAAGAGTTACACAAACTGCAGTACTGGTAGGTAGACCTTAAAGACCCACAGATTGGTCCAGCCAGAAATGCAGTGAACATCAGTTATCAATATTGTCATGTTTAGTGTCACATATCAGCATTGCGTATCCTAAATAGCATATTATACAAGATATGATAAATATTTATATAGATAGTAATACTTCCTTATGGCAAAATAACAATAATTTAAAAATCCTATATACATACTAATGGACCTGATTACCATGTGCTCCCTAAACCCACGCGAGTATACACTGGGGGGTGACATCATCTGGGACGAGACTGTTAATCCAGACATTCATGGCTTTATTTAATAAGCACATCTTATTGGCTATTTCACAAGCAGTAAATGTGTACGCTGCTTATAGTGATAACCTTTCTCATTTGACTTTAACACTAGAAAACAGTTTAATAAACAAAATTAATCAAGTTAATTCAAAGCTTCACTCCACAAGATTTCTACGAAGTTAAATTATTGTAGGCCATCAATTTAGTCAACAATGGGAATGGTTAACTTTTTACATCATCATAAATGTAAGTTAATGAACTAGCCCTACACTTGCACTACACACACAAGCAATCACTAACATTTTCTTAAACATAATATAATTATCATGAAACATTAACCACATACCAATCACTGTTAATGTAACAAGTCACTTGCATACTGGAGGAAATGTTCGACAAATATATTTTTTTCAACCCTTGATGTCATCCCCCGTTTTGAAACTGTGAGCAATCTCAACACTTAATTACTCGGAAACATCTTCAAAAAATTCTAGACGTCAGTGACTAATCAGTGCTCAAAAGAATGTCAAGTCACAGAGCAATCATACCCCTCTCTGAGCATTTATCAATAATAAACATTAACTTTAAACATTAAAGATCATTATTTGCTTTATTTCTCAAAAAAAAAAAAAATAAGTATAATAAGCTACAAACAGTAAAAGGAGGCAATGTGTTTATAATTGCCCTGTGAACTTGGCCTTACGAGTCATATATTAAAATGCTAATTATAAACCTTGAGGTAAACAGCATTTAACACTTGCATAAAAAAGGAAAAAGAAAAAGAATAAAAACCCATATAAAAAAAAAAAATGCCAACGCATCAATTGGATTATTACACTCAGGCATTACAAGATTCCTAGGAGCAAACAAAGACCCTGAGATTGTGCTGGTTCACCCACCCGACTGACTGCTGCCTTTGTGGGTTATAGTAATGATTTGCAATTGAAATGACTGATACAATTACTATATTCTGTACTATGATATAAATGATAAACATACATTAAACCCTTGGTTAAGTGAGTAGATTAATTAATATATAAATGGAATTACACATATCAGGCTAGAGACAAAAACTTTCTTGGCATTATACTTACTGACATCTGTCACTGCATCTGCTCATTCCTTTAATAATCTGCCTAAACCTGAAAACAAAGATTAAGCTAAACTGGATCTTACTATTTCCAGCAAAATAATTAAAAATTCATAAAAAATTAAGACATATGAAACAGCCTCAGTCAAAATTATACACAATATCACGTTCAAAAGTTGGTCTTTTCTAATAAACTAATACTAACAGCAAATGGAAATGCCGTATGAGAAATTTGTTAGCCATCCTCTTGTATAGCAAGAGAAGGCTGATACCACAGTAATATATAGATAAATGTTACTTATACTAATGTTCACCATACTTTATTGAACAGGGTGGACACCAGCTGGTCAACCAATGTATAATAGTACCAGTATCAACATATTTGACCACTGTTTCCATTAGTAATAAACAGCCCAAATACAATATGCTCAACCGTAATGAAGTTATCAAATAACATATCTGATAACAATATTTTCCTTTGTACAAAATACTGGGTAGTTCCAAAAACTAAATAA